CTTGTTCAAGAAAGGGAATAAGGATAATCCTGGGAATTATAGACGGGTCAGTCTTACTTCTATGATGGGCAACTTCTTGGAGAGGATTCTGAGATAGTATTTATGATTATTTGGAAAAGCACAGTTTGATTAGAAATAGTCAGCATGGCTTTGTGAGAGGTAGATCATGCCTCACAACCCTTATTGAATTTTTTGAGGTTGTGACAAAACACATTGATGAAGGCAGAGCGGTGGATGTGGTGTATATAGATTTTAGCAAGGCATTTGATAAGGTTCCCCATGGTAGGCTCATTCAGAAAGTAAGGAGGCATGGGATTCAGGGAAATTTGGCTGTCTGGACACAAAACTGGCTGTCCAATAGAAGGCAGAGGGTGGTAGTAGATGGAAAGTATTCAGCCTGGAGCTCGGTGACCAGTGGTATTCCACAGGGATCTGTTCTGGGGCCTCTGCTCTTTGTGATCTTTATAAATGACTTGGATGAGGAAGTGGAAGGGTGGGTTAGTAAGTTTGCCGCTGACACGAAGGTTGGCGGAGTTGTGGACAGCGTGGAGGGCTGTTGTAGTTTGCAACAGGACATTGGCAGGATGCAGAGCTGGGCAAAGAAGTGGCAGATGGAATTCAACACAGAAAAGTGTGAAGTGATTCATTTTGGAAGGTCGAATTTGAATGCAGAACACAGGGTTAATGGCAGGATTCTTGGCAGTGTGGAGGAACAGAGGGATCTTGGGGTCCACGTCCATAGATCCGTAGAGTTGCTTCCCAAGTTGATAGGGTTGTAAAGAAGGCGCATGGTGTGTTCGCTTTCATTGGCAGGGGAATTGAGTTTAAGAGCCGTGAGGTTATGCTGCAGCTCTATCAAACCATGGTTAGACCACTCTTGGAATATTGTGTTCATTTCTGTTTGCCTCATTCTAGGAAGGATGTGGAAGCTTTAGAAAGGGTGCAGAGGAGATTTACCAGGATGCTGCCTGGACTGAAGGGCAGGTCTTATGAGGCAAGGTTGAGGGAGCTAGGGGTTTTTTCATTGGAGCGAAGAAGGATGAGAGGTGACTTGATAGAGGTGTACAAGATGATGAGAGGCATAGATAGAGTGGATAGCCAGAGACTTTTTCCCAGGGCGGAAATGACATTACGAGGGAGCATAATTTTAAGGTGATTGGAGGAAGGTATAGTGGAGATGTCAGAGGTAGGTTCTTTACACAGAGAGTGGTGGGCACATGGAATGCGCTGCCGGCAGTGGTAGTAGAGTCAGATACTTTAGAGACTTTTAAGCGACTCTTGGATAGGCACATGGAGGATAGTAAAATGTAGGGTATGCAGGGTAGATTTATCTTAGTAAGATAATAGGTCGGCACAACATCGTGGGCCAAAGGGCCTGCATTGTTCTGTGTTCTATGAAACTATTTGACAACTAGCCATAATTATACAGAATATATTTTGATTCATCACTTGTTCTATTAAGTGAATATTGCTAATTATTTAAAAATAACCAGTCTCACAACCCTAATTGTAAACCTTGTTTTTATCCAGGTAGCTTTGGAACATATAAATCTGCTGAAGCATATGCCAGTGATCTAACATCAATTGTTAGGAAACTTCTGGAAAAGGTTCTGAAGAACAGAATTTATCACCAGGGCAAATTGGACATAATGTTGTCTTAGTGGTAGAAAGCAGAGGGTGCTGGTTGGAGGTATTTTTTGTGAGATGCAGGAAGGATGTTCCCAGTGACAGGGGAGTTCAGAACCAAGGGTCACAGATGAGAGGTTGAGAGGAGACCTTACAGACGTTTGTAAAATCATGAGGGGTGTAGATGAGGTGAATGGCAGGTGTCTTTTCCCTAGAGTGGGAGATTTCAAGACGAGGGCACATACTTTTAAGGTGAGAAGAGAAAGATTTAAACATGACATGACAGGTAATTTTTTTACACAGAGAGTGGTTCGTGTGTGGAATGAAGTTCCAGAGGAAGTGGTCGATGTAGTACAGTTACAACGTTTAAAATAAATTTAGATAAGTACATGAACACAAAATGTTTGGACAGGATATGGGCCAAGCGCAGGCTGGTGGGGCTAAATTAGTTTGGGATTATGGTCGGCAAGGACTTGTTGGACCAAAGGGTCTGTTTCCATGCTGTATGACTCTGTAGCTCTATGACTGGAGGCCTGTATCCAGTGGTGTATTACAAGGTTCAATGCTGGGTCCATTGTTTTTAGTGGACGTTAATGATTTGGGCACAAGTATAGGAGGTTTTATCAGTAAGTTTGTAGATGAACTAAAATTGGTAGCGTGGTAAATAGTGAGTGGGAAAGATTTAGACTACAGGAAAATACAGACAAGCTGAACAGATAGGTGAAACAAAGGCAGATAGAGTTTAATCCTAAAAGGTGTGAAGTGATGCATTTTGGGAGGACTGACAAGGCAAGAATGTACATAATGAATGGTTGGATCCTGTGTGGTGTTAAGGATCAGCGGGACCTTGGAGTACATGTATACAGATCTTTGAAGGCAACTGGCCAAATGCATAGGGTGATTAAGAAGGCATATGGAATACTCACCTTTATTAATCAAGGTGTGGAATACAAGAACTGGGATGGAATGATGGAGCTGTATGGGAAGTTAGCTAAGACACAACTGGAATACTGCATATAGTTCTGGTGGCCGCTTTATAGAAAAGATATGATTGCTCTGGAGACGATGCAGAACAGATTCACCAGGATGGTTGACTGGGCTGGTGTGTTCCAGCTATAAACAGAGACTACACAGGCTGGGGTTATTTTACTTGGAGCAGAGAAGGCTGAGGGAGATTGATTGAGAACTACAAAATCAGGAGCTGCATACATAGGTATGTTAGAAATAACTCTCCTTAGTGGAGGGGGCACAGATTTAAGGCAGGGGGCAGGAAGTTTAGAGAGGATTCATAGAATTATTTTTCCACACAGTGTGGTGGATATCAGGAACTCGTTGCATGAAAGCATGGTATGAACCATTACAACATTTAAGAAGTATTTAGATGAACACTTGAAACACCACAGTATAACGGGCTATGGAACAAGTACTGAGAAACAGGATTAGAGAAGTAGATCCTTAAAGATTGGCCTGGACTCTGGGCTGATCTGCTTCTTTCCATGTTGTAATACTCTGTGACTTGACTTAACCAAAGTATGTGTAACTGAATCAACACTACTAAAACATCTGACCCAATATTTGTAATACTTAGCCTATGGGAAGAACAACTTAGTTTCTCACAAAATATAACATTAATTCATATCTGCTATTTGCATCTCTTGACCAATGTGAAGAGTACTCCCAGCTTCTCCACAACAGTCAATCTAATCTGAATTTGTATCTTTCTTTAGAGGCCGTAAAAACATTTAGTCCCTAAGTCATTCTTGTCACCAATCATCATTGTAGTGTTGGCTTTACTGTGATGGTAGACTCACTGGAGCCCAGTTGCATCCTAACTATAACTCCTTGTTCTTACTTAGAGCTATATCACAGCATTTGACACTTAAAAAATGCCAACTTTAAGATTTTCCTTTCTACAACATATCCTATTTATCATTATAAAGGAGACTTTCATCTCTTAGCTGATGTACGGTACAATTTGATCATTTAATCCTTATCAACTACACAAATGTGCAAATGAGGTGAAGTCTAACAATATTTTCACTGCACATTCCCAACCCCTTCCTAACATAATTCTTCCCTCACTGAACTACAACTGCAGTTCTGCTTCTTAAAAAAGGCCTTCAGCCACAGACCTCATTGTTACATTTTACTTCTGCTAGTTTGTAGCCCACAGTCTTGAAAGATTCATTCTTTGCCCACCATTCTCACCAGGCCTCCCAACTTAATATATCTGCCAACACTGTCCAACACCAGAGGAAACCTATCACTCGTTACCAGTGCTAACCATTGTATGGTTCACTAGTTTATGTCATTTAAAATTATTGTAATACTTTGGGAATAAAGTCAACTGTAATTCAAAACACACTTCATGAGATCTGTTTTCTATTTATACCGATCACATAGCATCAAGTTATTATGATCTGGAATAAACTCGCAGAAAGTGGTCGGAGAAAATTCTACACTGACTTTCAAAATGCCAAAAGTCATGATAGGCAGACTTCTTCTGTCTTATGATTATTTATAATCCATTGCACCAGCCTTACTTGTAACATCCCTGCTTTCCACCATATCACACTTTGTTCCTTCTTACTCTTTGCTTTCCATCTTTTCCCTATAGCTCTGCCCTTATTTAAAAGTTTTTTTTTCATTTGTAGATAGGAATAGGCCTGTTGAACCATTCAATTAGATCAGGATTGAATGGACAAGCTTGAACTGTTAAAGTCATGCCTCATGATTTGACTAACCCACCAGAGGAAATCAGTTTCTTTAATCATCGTAAACATCTCAATTAGTTCACCCTTAATTTTCTAAATTCAAAGTAACAAAGGCATAGTGTACAGAATCTGTCTTAATTTAAACATTTTAGCCCTATTATCAGTCCAGTTTACGTGCTCTGCAGCCTGAAGGCCAATTCTAGAGCTGAATACAGTACTCCAAATGACGTCTACCCACAGCCCTGTACAACTATAAATTTTTCCACTTTGTTAACTTCTTGAGCTAAAAAAAACCAACATCGCAACAGCGCCTTAAAAAAATTAATTTCTGATGAAGGGGACCTGTGATATTGGTCTACATTACTGAAATTGGCCTTATGATTCTCGAATAGCAATTGCAATTTATTTTCTCGACATACAGCATGCATCTTTGCTCTTGTCATTCTCTGGAGGGATTTCTGCAGCACAGCCAGTGTTTAAAGCTGAGTTCATACATTTTTGTTTCGGACGCAATGCTAAGAGGAAGAAGTGAAAATATGGCACTCCAACCTAGTTAGCCTGCCTCGGGTTACAGAGAGAGAGAGAGGTGAGAAGGCTGGAGGGGTTGCAGGAAAGGCAACGTTTTACTGTAGCAAACTGGGTTGGGAGGGCGGAGCCAGGATCGGCGCGAGCGCAAGTGAGAGTTGGTTGGTTATACAGGGGGGGTCCCCGCTCTGTCGGGTCGCGTGCTCCAGGCCGGGATTCCAGAGACAATGCAGAAACCAGCGCTACAGAACATTCAGAATGTTACCCTGAGCCTCACCCTGCCCATCTCGTGTCAGATCTGCTTGGGGAAGGTACTGTACAGCCACCGGGGGAGGGGGTATAAAGAGTGCAAGGAGGTGGAGAGGCTCTTCCTGTATTGCAACCGCACCAGTCGGGAAAAGATGCATTTTGTTTTCCTTCTCTTTCCATTGCAGTTTTTTTTTATATAGACAAAACATATATTTCTTTTCGAAATGAATCCACCATCCCCGTCCCTTGCTGATTGCAGCTTAGAAAATTAATGGTGTTGAAAATTGGGACGAGGAACCTGACACTTTTGTTTTACTCTTTGTCTGAAGAATCCAGTTCATTTCTTTAAATCGTTGCAAACTTTGCGAAGGTTTGTGTGCTGCTGTAAAGTTCAGAAAGGAAAGGAAAGGAAACTGGTGGACACTCTCTTTTCCTGGTTTAAATTCTCACTTCCGCATTATTTTGTCGGTTGGTCAAAATGTGTTGTTGAATGGCAACCGGAACTTTGAACAACTCTGTCAGACTATTCATGGCAATGAACACTTCCAGAAACTCTTACGTTGTGCTTTTTTTTACAGTAATTTTTTAATGCATTTTGTATATCTTTAATTCGACTCGACATTTGCCATACATAACTCGATGTCACTTTCAAATCATTCCACAATGAAGAAAGTAGTTTTATTTCCATATGTACTATTGTCCTGTCAACTCTGATCGTGGCGCAGCCACGTGAGACAGCAAACAGAAAGGATCTTGATTGTTCTTGCAAGATATTGCTGTTTTGTGCTTATTCAAGAATATTTGCGTGAGTACAAAAAAAGTTCAAAAATAGAGACTTGCATCTATCAACCTTTATCAATCTCATTACCTCTCTGCCATTTTACCTCCAATGTGACAATATTGAAATGTGATCATTGTAATGTAGGAAACACAGGGGCCAATTTGTACAAAGTTAGCTTCCACAACCATCAATGAGATAGTGATCAAATAGTCTGATTTAAGTACCATCATAGGAGTGAATAGTGGCCAGAGTCAGAAAATCAGTTTATATTCACTGAGAGAGCTTCTGGGACCTCCGCTTAATATTGCATCCCAAGGTCATCCCCTCCACAGCGCAGAGTTTTATTATGTTTAAGTGCTGACCTAGGTTATTTGCTGAAGAGTTTGGTCTGGGACTGGAATGCAAGAACTTTGCTGTAACAAGACACAAATTAGCTCTTTTTTGATGTAATCAACTTTAATTTCTATAATTATGACTAAAAGTATGAGAAGTTTACTTACTAGTTAGACATGAGCAGAAGTAATGTAATCAAGAGATTGACAGTATTATATCTTGCTGGATGTTGCTTTGTAAGTAGCTGCAGTTTGTTTTTGGAGTTATAACTCTCACCAGTTCATCAATTTATCTTATAGAAACCTATAAAATTCTAACAGGAATAGACAAGGTAAATGCAGGAAAGATGTTCCCAATGACTGATGAGTCCAGAATGAGGGGGTCACAGTCTAAGGATACAGGGTAGGCCAATTAGGACTCAGATAGAGAGAAATTTCTTCACCTAGAGATTAGGGAGCCTGTGGAATTCTCAGCAACAGAAAGCAGTAGAGGCCAAAACATTGAATGTTTTCAAGAAGGAGTTAGATGTAGTTCTTAGGGCTAAAGTGATCAAAGGGTAGGGGAGAAAATAGGAACAGGGTACTGAGTTAGATGATTAGTCGTGATCATATTGAATGGCAGAGCAGGTTCAAAGGGCCAATGGCTTACTCCTATTTTCTGTGTTTCTATCATGACATTATTAGCGGAATTAAATATCAGATGTGATATGGTTTGTTGAACATGACTGACTCAGTTGTGTGAATGTGTTAACCTCAATTAATACTCATTTTGCAAACGCTTTAGGTTCGTCAACCAGTCATCTGTTCGAACAACCATGTTTTCTGTTTCATGTGTATGCGGTCTTGGCTGAAAAACAGTACCCAGTGCCCAACTTGTAGAATTCCAATCACATCTGAAAACCCTTTCAAGGAAGTGCTCGGTAAGCCTATTTTAAAATGACATAAATGGCTAGGTTCTTTTTATTTTTATTAAATAGCTTGGTGCTTTTTCTCTGTGCTTGTATAAAAGGGCAAATTTAGTTTGTTTTTACGAGTAGCAATGTTCTTTCTTTGTGAAGATAGAAACAGTCCAGTGTTTTTTTGCTGACCATGATGCCAATCTAAACTAATCCCATCTGCCTATAGGATCGATATCCCTCTATTCCCTGCCTGTTCACGTGTCTGTCTAAATGCTTTTTCAACATTGCTATCATCTCTGCTTCTACCACCTCCCCTGGCAGCACGTTCCAGGAACCGACTACCCTGGAGGTAAAAAAAAAACTTTCCTAGCACACCTCCTTTAAAGTTTTCCCCTCTCACCGCAAGTCTTTGTGCCCTAGTCCTCAAAGTAGGCATTTTCAGCCTGACAAAATGACTCCGACCATCCACTTTATCCATGCCTTTAAATTTTATAAACAGTATTTCTATCAGGTAGCCCCTCAGCCTCCGAGGCTATAGTAAAACCAATCCAAGTTTGATCACCCATACATTTAATATACTTTTCAGTATTCCCAGGCAGTACTAGTAATGCATGTACAGTGCAATTCAGAGCTGAAGGGCCTGTTCTTGTGCTGTACAGTTCTATGATATAATTATACTTGAATCCTACTTTGACGATATATTTTAGATTAGTGTGCCCTTTCTGGACTCGTAGCAGGTAAATGGTGATTAAAATTAAATGACTAAACTGGGGAGCTGTATCAGAAAAGTCGAGATTGTTGCATATATAGTGCATATGTAAAAATCCCATGAGTAGGACTGATGAATATTGTAGGTGGGATAGTTATGTTGTGGAAAGAATATAGGTAATTTGTTGACTCTGTGTATAAGAGGGAAACAGCTTTTGGTCAGTCCGTTTTCCTTCACTTGTGTGTAGTTGAATTTAGTCCCTTCCCACGCAGCCAAACACATGTTTCTGCAGAATTGCCCTTGACTCCTGAAGCCTATCATTTAAAGCTGGGAGAAAGTATACAATTCATCATTGGACAAATCCTAACCTTGTATTTTGATAAACTAATCTTGTCCAACATGAATTGCTGACGAGCCATGGGATGTATTATGGGGATTTTTTTTTAACATGGGCACTAAAATAGCTAGAAAGCACCTCATCACAAAGATAAATTTGCTTTACAAGTGTATTTACTGAACAAACATTTCCTTTTGAGTAGAAAAAACATTTACCATCTTGCTCTTTCACTGAAGGTTTTGAATCTTGGCATGGATTTATCAGACATCTTGGTGCGGCTTCTGCATTTTCATCCATCAGTTGCGAGCAGCACTCTGACTTCTTCAGTGACTGAGTCACTCTTCTCAGCATTGACATATAGCAGATCTTCCCTCTCTGGTGGGAGGAAACTGTTTATCCTTTACAATGACATGCCTACTGGAGTTGCTTGTATTGGTTGAACATGTTTTTTTGTGCTGGCCTGGAGCAGTTACTCTGATTGGCCAGACTCTCCATAATAAGAGTTCTGCACAATGTTGCTGATATCTCCATATTACAAACTATTTTGGATAACCAGTAAGTACTAACCAAGGATGTAAAGTGCACAAAATGGTCAAAAGATGACTTGTTCTTCAGCTTTACATCTTATCAACAAATACATAAAATGAGTAAAATGTATATGGATACATCATGAGGATATGAATTTGTGATCACTTGCCCAAAGATGGCATTTTTATATAATTAAAATTTCAAATTGGTTTCTGAGTTGATCAGAGATAGCTAGAGTCTAACAATTTGCTTTACTACTCATAATGTTTTGTTATGACCAGATAAATGCACTGTACACTGACTTTCTCAGCACAATAATTATTCCTGAAAGTCTGCAACGCAAAGTTTCATGTTTCATTTTGACTGTTGCTGACACACTTCTGAATTTCTTTTGTTATGCCATCAGATTTCTGTAAGCCGGGTATAAGCTTAGAGATGCTACCTTATACAGGTGCAAATGACATAAGTAGCAATAAATACAAACAGATCTTATTAAACATAAGCTTAATCAGTGGGGAGAGGATGGTGTAGTGGTAACACCACAGGACTAGAAATCTAGAAGTACCGGCTAATACCGTGAGGTTGTGCGTTCAGATCTCAGCATGGACGTTGATGAAATTTAAATCCAATTAGTAAATCTGAAATAGAGAACTGGTCTCAATGATGGTGACCATGACAACTATCATCAAATGTTGTGAAAATCCATCTGTTTCGCAAATGTCTTTTGGGAAGGGAAATCTGACATCTTTACTTGGCCTAGCCTAAATTTGACTCCAGACCTACCATATTGTCATTGACTTTTAGTTGCTCTCTGAACTAATCCAACAAAGCATTTGCCTCGGGGACATTTGGGGATTAACAAACAAATGCCAGCAATGTCCGTATCTCATGAAAGAATAAAGAAACAGGAAAAGGTATTGTAAATTCCAAATGAAATTCACCGTATTTTACTTAATCACCATTCAGGTGGAACAGATGGAACAGAAAATTGTGACAGTCCATCAGTTAAGCGACACCTTCGAAAAACCAGGCTGGATCTACTACATAGAGAATATGAGGTCAGGCATTTGCTGTTGAACAAATATTTTTCTGTATTGGTCTGAATAGGAGAAGATTTTGTTTTTTAAAAAGCAGCAAACATCAAGCTATTTGAATGCACTTTCTTTTTGAAAAATCTTAACTTCTGGCAAAATATTGCCAGCAATTGAGTTCTCCCCTACTTGTATTTGTGCTTACACCTGTGTCATGAATCTGTAATTTACAAGACATTGGTAAAGCCATATTGGGAGTACTGCATACAATACTGGTTGCTCTGCTATAGGAAAGATGTTACTAAACTGGAAATGGTGCAAAAAAGATTTACCAAGACTGGAAGGTTTGAGTTATATGGAAAGACTGAACAGACTGGGACATTTTTTCCCTGGAGAGTAGGAAGCTGAGGAATGACTGTATACAGGTTTATAAAGTCACAAGAGGCAAAAGTCAAGTGAATAGCCAACGTCTTTTCCCTAGGGTAAGGGAGTCCAAAACTAGAGGGCATAGATTTAAGGTGAGAGGGGTAATATTTAAAAGGGACCTGAAGGGTAACTTTTTCATGTAGAGGGTGGTGCATGTATGGAACAAGCCGCCAGAGGAAGTGGTAGAGGCGAGTACAGTTTCAGCATTTAAAAGACATTTGGACAGACATGTAGATAGGAAAAGTTTACAGGATATGGATGAAATGAAGGCAAATGGGATGACAGGTATTTTTCCTATAAGGCGATAGTTGTATTCTTCTGTGACCTCATGCTATAGAAAATCGCCATAGAAAATCATGTTGTAGGGAAATCGCTATATGTACAGCAGAAAGTTCGCGTTATCCAAACAGCGTCCACTATTCCTCAATCGCGTTACAGCCAACTCGCATTAATGAAACGTGTTATAGCAGAAATACCTGTAGTTCGGTTCAAGAAACCTGGTCAGCATGGATGATTTTGGCCAAAGAATCTGTTTCCAAGCTGTTTACCTCAATGACTCGATGACTCTATGGTGCTTTTGATGAGGGACAGGGTGCACTCTGGGTTAGTACTATGTTCCAGAATTTTGAGAGGAAGTGATGATAGAATAGAATAGGAATTTTGGGGAGTAATGGGCTGACGTGTGGTAGAACAGTGAATAAAGGGCATTGTCTAGCAGCCTTGAAAGACAATATAGTTTGACATGTCTTTAGCTCCCTTGGAAGCAGTAAGTGCCTTGGATCTTTCATGGCCATTTATAGCCTCTTGAGTGTCTGGAAGTGGAAAGCCAGTTATGAAGGATTATCTTGAATATCTTTTTGGTGTTTAGGAGGAAATTGAATCCCTGCAGAAAGAAATTGAAGATCTTCGTGGCAAAAACCTGAGCCTGGAATCGCAGCTACAAGCTGTCTTTGATATGAGAACACTGCCACCTTCTAACAAAGCCGATAACCAAAAGCAAAGCCCAACTGAACAGGACAGCGTACCTGACTTAATCAGTCCGCAGGAATGGAGGGCCAAGTTAAAAGCCGCTACAGAAATCTATGAGAAAACGAAAGTAGACTTGGATAAACTTAAAGAAGTAAGTATTTTTCTATATTTTCCTTGTGAAACAATAAGAGAAGGAGAGGCATAGGAGTTCGTCTTGAGCAGCGGAACAAACCTGCTGGTATGGGATCAGATGCTTGCCGTCCATGTGCAGGGCCTTGTATTTAATTCTATTGACCTCGATGAAACTGAATAACTGGCAACTTGCAGTCAACACGATCCCGCTGGTGACAACCTTCTGCCCCCACAGCATTCATTAGATGTTCATTTGAAGGAAGAGAAAAAGAAGTGCATACATTTAGCCTTTTTCACAATTTCACCAAGTACTTTATAACCAATTAAGTCAGTTTTGATTGTCATTACCATTGAAAGAGGCAGCAATTTACAAATACCATGTCTGCAAGTAAGCAAAATAGGAAAAAAATTGCCCAGTTGACCCAATCAATGTCAGCAGTGTACCATTGAAGCCTCCTCAAATTGTTCTCCATTTCATACAACTCACTTCCTTAACACAGGCCTCTATTCACTTCTCTCTTATTTGTTTATCTAGCTCCCCATTACATACAGCAATACTATTTGTTTCTATGAATTCCTTTTGGGAGAGTCTTCACATTTTCACTAATCTCTGGGTAAAGAGGTTTCTTCTAAATTCCTCATGTAATTTCTTTGTGACTGATTGATGGCTTCAGGTTTTGCTCTTCCCTCATTAGTCATAAAGGCTATGAAAACACTTAATAATATTAAAAACCTGTTAGGTCATTTCTCAGCCTTCTCTGATCATTCTTTCCTAATGATTATAATCTTGCAATTCTGTTGCCGTGCTGTAAATCATACTTCACCTTCCTGAAAGCATCTATAATCCTTTTAGAATATGGCAGCGAGAGTAGCACACTGATGTGTAACCAAAATACCATACAAATCAGCATAACTAAACAATTTCAATGTACACGGGCAGCTGTGTGTATCATCTACAAGGTGTACAGCATTAACTCAAAGTTCTTTCTACATCACCTTCCAAACCCAGGACCACTAGAAGGACCAGGGCAGCAGCTACAAGTTCCCTTCCAAGTCTCTCACCATCCTGACTTGAAACTATATTGCCGTTCCATCGTTGTTATTGGGTCAGAAACTTTGAACTCCCTTTCTAACAGAACTGAGAGTGTCCCTATACCCCAAAGACTACAGTGGTTCAGTTTCTCCAAATCCTTACCAAAATGTCATATTTCACACTTATCTGCAATTAAATTCATTTACTGATTATTACCCAGACTACAAGTTGCTGATACCTTTGTTGCAGTTCTCCTCACGATTGCCTGTCCTTCCTCACCTGCACAATTAGAGATTGTGTTCTTGATTCTACAGTCTGTTGTTAATATAAATTGTGAACAGCAGCAGTCCCAGCACCAATCCTTGTGGGAGCCTACTTCCCACTTTCTTCTATGAACAGCTGTCCTTTACCCCTAATATCCATCTTTCAAACAGCTATGTATTTACTCTGCAACTCGTGCTTTAACTATGGGTGCTCTGATCTTATTCGTTTATGATGTTTCACCTTGTGGTAGGTCTTTCGGATATTTAGATGCATTGCATCTGCTACCTTACCCACATCTACTCTTCTTGCTACTTCAAAGAATTTAATGAGATTGGCTAATTAAGACTTTTCCTTCAGAAATTCACATTGAGTATTCATGGACAGAATACCAGAATCAGTGCCTTGTGAAAGGGAACCTGCCTTTGCCACAATAACCTTTTAACTAAGTGTTACACTTGTTTGATCTGTATGTTTCTATGTCAAATTGCAGACTGGCTCCAACAATAATCTCGGAAATTTTCACCCTCGAGAGCTGGCTTTTTAATTTTGTTCCTAACTCCTGGTCGTCCCTCAGCAGATTTCCTGTTTTGATGTATTCCAAAGTGGACCATGACACCCAAATAATCTGCTTTTTATGGTGTCATTTGAGGGATAAATATTGGTCAGTGCAACAGGAAGAACGCCCCTGCTTTTCTTTGGAATAGTGCCTCGCAATTTGTTACGTCTAAACTGAAGCCTTGTTTGCCCTCTCAGTTGATGTGTCTTCTGAAGGGTGGTACCTCTACCAATGCAGCAACCCCTCAGTACTGCATTGAAGTGTCAGCCTAGACTTTGTACTACAGTCTTATTAGGACCTGAATCCAGAACCTGCTAACTGGGCTTAAATAGGCACCAGTGAAATGTTTTTGACACCTAAATGTACACTTTCTCTTGCAATCTTAAGTATTGAAAAGACATAAAAAATGGACATTGATACATCACGTCTGTCATAAAGAAATGTGTTTTGTATGACATTGCACTCATGAAATGCTGGGAAATTAAACGGTCTTTTGAGAATCTACTGTTGGCATCAAGCACTGCTGGATACCTCCCGGGAACTTGGTTGTAGAGTGAGGTTTCCCTCTATCCTGCCAATGCATCTGAGCCTATACCTCAGATAAGCAACTCTGCTGCAGAATTTCTGTTTCTCACGCCAGCCATCCAGTGAATTTTTGTGTAAAATTCCCAACTGTTACTAAATTAGGGAATTGTTACATTGACACTCAAAAAGGACTGGCCACAACATTCTTATCAACCTAAAGTAGGAGGCAAACATATTTTTCGGTGAGGTATGGAAATCTTTGATTAGGCCATTTATTTGCCCATCCTTAATTGTCCTACAACTGAGTGACTAGCTAGGACCATTTTACAAGGCAGTAAAAGGCCTCATTGTCATGGAACCTATGGTCACATGGAGGCCAGACCAGTTAAGCCTGGCAGATTTCCTTCCCTAAAGGAATCCGTGAACCAGATGGATTGTTATGATAATTGATGCTAGTTGTCATGGTCACCTCTACTGTTGCTCACTTTCAGTTCCAAATGTTTTATTAATTGAATTTTAAATTTAAATCTGCTGCTATGGTGGGATTACAACTCATGGTCTCCAGAGCATTGGCACGGAGCCCCCGAATTGCTAGACCAGTGACATTACTACTACACCACTGTCTTTCTCCCTCCCCCCCACCCCCGACAAGAAAAATTCAACGTTCCAACCTGTACTTGAATCCACCACCCTCTTGAGACGAAAGGCAAGTGTCCATCCCTCACTGCTCCCAGACTCTGTACTGTTTAACTCTAATGCTCAGCAAGGTATGTTACGTACAGAATCTTCACTGAAATCTAAGCCTAGATGTATAGGAGTTTCAGCCTCTCTTCTGTGTGATAATCTTGAGTTAATGTGTTTTTCTTTTGTTCAGTAAGCAGTAATTCTGAATACAACTGTGGTAAGTATATATAGATAAAGTAATTTTTAGTTTGCTGTTTTACCTGTGAAATCGTTTCAAATAGTGAACTCCAAAAACAATTATAAATCATTGAAAACCTTTTACTATGATGATTAATAAAGGCCATTTAATCATAATGGGCTGGATTTTACAATCAGCAGTGATGCTGCACCACTTGCCACTGGCCTCCAAGAAAGCTGATGACCCAGATCTAGCCATTTCTGCAGAATTTCCCTTTCCTGATGCCCGTTCAAATCTGGGAACAAGCAATTGGGATTTCCAGGCATCCAACAAGCTAAGCAGTCAAGCAAGCTAAGCAGTCCGACTTAATCTCTCCAGCAATAAAGCAGGAACTTTAAATCTCTTCACTTTTAATTTTAGCTTCAACAGATGGTGAAATAATGTTTAAGACACAGCTTCTATGTTAATCCTGAATTTATTTCATATCGTCATGGAAGTTTGACATTTAATAAGTATAAATTTATGCTTTCAATTGAAAACCAAATTGCACCTCGTACAAAAAGGATCCTTTCCCAAAGGCTTTTACAGTTTTTTTTTCTATTTTACTGATTTCCCATTGAGTGAAGTCCATTGTGGTGTGTTGGAAGTAGCCAGCCTAACCCCTATAGAAACACAGAATCACAAACAGCAATTTTTGAATTTTCATGTTTAACTGTGTGCATCTATGTTCAGAAAGTCGCTGAAAATTTTAGAGGAGTGTTAATCCCAAGCGCAGAATCTGGTTGTTATCGTAGAATCACATGGTATAGAAGGAGACCATTTGGCCCATTGTTCCCTGTCTGGCCCCTGAAAGAGCTATCCCATTAGACTAATTCACAGGCTTAGTTAGTTCCTTGCTGGTACTTTCACAGACACATTTTCACCTGTTTCTTCTCCTTGCTCCACCTCAGCACCTAGCTTAGATGCCTATCAAAAATACTGAAAACTAGAACTTAATTTGCTTGTTGAGTGTTTCGATTAAATCAAATTTGCATTCACCAGGTGGCACTGTATCTCATAACTTCATAAGTCCCATGAGCGGAGAGGTTACTTAAATTTTATTTAGAGAACAATTACTATGGCTTATTATTTCCCCTGATTGTCTTTTGGTTTGCAGAGATTTTCCACATCCACCCTATATTGATTAATGTGAATAGTCTTGACCTCATTTAGCCTCTCTTCTTATAGCATTGTGGCTTTATGATATTGAAAATCCTTGGTCCCGACGTGGAGCTTCCAGAAAAGCCAGGATTAATAATAGTGCTTCTCAACAGGCACCATTTGATAAGCTTCTGTTTGGAAATAAGCATTGGAGCTTCCTCAGAAAATGACTAAAGCGTGTGTCCTTTCTTTGGTTCTGATGACAAAAACTAAATACTGAATTGACACTTCATGATAAAAACCAGAGTACATTATTGGAGAAAAAGCATTAACCTCTTTCACAATGGTGACTTCTTGAGTTTCTGCATTTGAAGTTAAGTTTGACTTTTTGCAAGATTTGATTAGTTGCTTTGCTTGATTCGTTGTTGATTTGTGACATCCAGCTATTTTTCCTCCAGACTTGTACATGTGATTTCTTAAATTTTTTTGTTTCTTGGTTGCATTTACCATTTAGGGTGCTGTCTGAAAGAGCTCTGTGACGAATACTGATGGGGCACTGCATTAAAATACAAACGATTTTAAATTACCTGGGTGCTGAACCAGTCACAATAGCTCTGTTGATGTTTACTCTAATTCACTTTTCCACATAACTCGTGCCATCCCGATGAAGACCTTGGGACGGCAGAATATTTAAGAGATCAGTAACTACATTAACTATGTTAAACCTAGGCCCTCTTTTTATTTGTGTCTGGGACAGTTGCACGCACAGAGACAGGATAATACCCAATTCTGCAAACCTGCTCTTGAAAAATACATGCCCTCCACCCTTCCCATTTTCATACTAGGCCCGAATCACTAGTTGAACTGGAAAGCAGGCTAGGAGGCCCAGAAAGAGTTGAGGAATCTGCCAGTTGGCTGGGTGGGGAGGTGGAAAGCCTTCCTTGAGGCTCCAGTATTATTTAAATGTTAAAATAAAAGAACATTGAAAATATTTTTCAGCCCTTGCCCCTCATTCCCCCTCAATACAACACACTGCCCATTTCCCAAGTCATGTCAACCCATGCCATTCCAATGCCCCTCATATCCCTTTTGCCTCTCTCTATCCATTCCCATTGCCCCCTCATACCTTATGCCAGCTTTGTGCCTGCTACCACTACACTATCCTTTTTTGTCCTTGACTTAGCATGATGATTTAGTTAGCATTCTGTCTTCACAAAGAAGTTCACACGTAATGCCCAAAAACGTTGGGGAACAAGGTCTAGAGAGAGGGAAGAACTGAAGGAAATTAGTATTAGTCGGGCAATGGTGTGGGTGAAATTGATGGGATTAAAGATGATCCACTTCGGAAGAAGTAACAAGACAGGGAGACCTCAATGATTGCAGGATATTAGGAAGTTCAGAGGAACAGGGGGATCTTGGGGTGCCTGCCAACAGATGGAGGTGGCAGGACATGTTAATAGGTTAGCTAAGAAGGCATATTGGATGCTTGCCTTTATCAGTTGAGGCGTTGATTATAAGAGCAGGGAGATTATATTGGAGCTGTACAGAACTTTGATTAGGGCACAGCTGGAGTTCTGTGCTCAGTTTTGATCACCATACTGTGTGAAGGGTGTGTTTGCACTGGAGGGGGTGCAGAGGATATTCACCAGGATGTTGTCTGTGATGGAGGATTATGGCTATGAAGAGAGACTGGGCAAGCTCAAGCTGTTTTCTTTGGAGCAGAGAAGGTTAATGGGGGACCTGATAGAGCTGTATTAGATTATGTTTTGGATGGTAAGCAGCTTTCCCCTTAGTTGAAGGGTTAACAATAAGGAGACACTCTTTTTAATTGAAAGACAAGTGTTTTCACCCAGGGCGTGGTGAGTATCTGGAATGCACAGTCTGGAAGGGTGCTTGTGGCGGGTAAACTTCAACCTTCAAAAAGTACTTGGATGAACAATTGAAGTGTCATAACATTCAAGCCTAAGGGCCTTGTGCAGGAAAGTGGGAATAATGTAGGTGGTAGTGTATTTTTGGCAATAAGGCCTCTTCTGTATTGTGTGCTTCTATGATTCTAAATGCCCATAACTTCCCAGTAATCTACACTCCAGGTTACTTCAGGAACTTGCCCTTGAAATAGTGGAGACGTCAGTGGTCATCTTTCAAAATTCCATAGGAACGCTTCCAGAGTCTATAAATTGGAGGGTAGCTAATATAACTCCGCTATTTACAAAATGAGGGAGGGAGAAACCTCGAATTACAGACCAATTTGTTTGTCAAAGTTGTTGGGAAGAAACTAGTGTCTATTTATAAAAGATTTAATAGCAGAGTACTTGGAATCAGTGACAGGATCGGACAGAGTCAGCATGGATCTACAAAAGAAAAATCATATTTGATAAATTTACTGAAACTTTTCAAGGATGTAATTAGTGGAGTTGATAAGGTGGAGGCAATAGATGTTTGTGTACTTGAACTTCCATAAGTGCTTTTGATAAAGTCCTAGCTAAGAGAGTAGCATGTAAATTAAAGCACAAGGGATTAGGTTGGTGTACTGACATGAACAGAGAACTGGTTGGCAGACAGGAAATAAAGAGTAGGAATAAACAGGTCTTTTTATCAGTGGCAAGCATTGACTAGTGGGGTACTGCAGGAATCAGTGCTTGGACCCCAGCAATTCATGATATATATTTATGAGGAAACTTAATGTAATATCTCCAAATTTGCAAATGACTTACTGCTGGACGGCAGGGTGAACTGTGAGGACGATGCAAAGACGCTTCAGTGTGATGTGGATGAGTGCATAAGTGCACGGCTGATGAAGCATAATGCGGATAAATGTGAGATTACCCACTTTGGTAGCAAAAACAGAAAGGCTGATTATTATCTGAATAGTGATAGATTGGAAAAGGGGAAGATTCACTGAGACCTGGGTATCCTTGAACACTCGTCACAGAAAAGTAAGCATGCAGATGCAGCAGGCAGTGAAGCTAAAAAATGATATCTTGGTCTTCATAGTGAGAGGACTGGAGTACAGGAGCAGAGAAGTCTTGCTGCAATTATACAGGGCATTGGAGAGACCACACCTGTGTGCAGTTTTGGTTCCTTATTTGAGGAAGGATGTTCTCGCTATGGAGGGAGTGCAACAAAGGTTTACCAGATAAATTTCTGGTATAGGAGGATTGAGGTATGGAGAGAGAGTGGATTTTGTTTAGCAGACTTTAGAAAAATGATGGGGATCTCATAGAAACCAGTAAAATTCTACCAGGACTGGTCAGAATAAACAACTAAAGTGTTCAGAACAAGGAGTCACAGTCTAAGGCTAGAGGGTTTTTACGTAGGTATGCTGGATATCCAGGGGAAATGCACCGAGAACAAACCTGCTGTGAGCTGATCTGTCCTGCAGACACCTGGTTTAATGCAATATGGTTACCAAACTGGAGTTTGAGTGGAGACTGCTGATCATTTAAATGGTGAGCTGCCTCCTGGAATTTGCATGTCTGTTTCCTGAGCCCATTCCACTCTCCTCCCTCCCCTGCCCCAATCCAGAAGATGGGAAGAGCTGTATTCAGGAGCAGGATTTGAGATTTATGCTGTCTTCTACCATTTTCACCATGATAAAGAAAATCTGGGCCCTAGTTTCTAACTATGGGTGGACATGGCGAAAATCCATCCAAAATGCTGATGATTCAAAGGAGATCTTGTCGTCATAATGTTTCTTTGTGGGCCCAGATAAGGAATGCTGAGATTTAAACATTTATCCTCTGAATAAAGTCAAGAATGTGTTTTCTTTCGAAAAGTCCTTTGTGTATCATCTGCTCTTTTCATGAAGAAAGGTGTTGGTCTGTTGTGTACTTTGTACTTGCGCTTCATGGATTGCCTTTTGGCAAAAACTTCAAGTCTAATGTGACATGAAACATTTATTAATAGCTGCTGAGTGGTTAATAGCAGTTGTGTTGATACTGACATATTGTCATTACATACTATTCATGAATCAGTTCATTGTGTGAGAAACATGATTTTACCATTAGGCTTTTCCCTTAATGTCCAGCTACTGGTGCTCAGCTGCCAGTTTGAGCATTAAAAATATATTCTGAATCTTGGTGTAAAATAATTCTGTTGTAAAATCTAATTAGTTCAGATTAAAATGCTGAGCTTTTTTTCAGTGTCTATTTTTAAAATGTCTTTCAAAATTATTTGAGGAGCAGCAATGCACAGGGTTACACAGATAAAAAGGAAGAATGGCATTAAATGAAGTGCTCTTTCAGAGAGCAGGTGCAGATATAGTGGGCTGAATGGCCTCCTCCTGGGATGTAATGATGCAGTGAAGTGCGTCCTGTCCTTTGTTTATTGGCCGTTAAATGTAGAAAATATGTAAAATCTAACAGTGCATGACACTTGCATTGAAAATGGTATTTTTGATATTGAACATTTAGCACAAAACTCTCTTTGATAGATCCCTTGAGACTCCATAATCTTTTCAAAGTATTTGAATATTTTTTTTCCCTTCCTCAGGCAAATCGAAAGCTTCGTGTTCAAAATGGTGATCTTGTGAGAGAGAATTTGCATCTGAAGGCTGAGATTGACAGCCGATCTCCACAAAAGTATGTCTAGTTTCTGTGTTAGAAGTGGAGACCATTATTATGGTCTTTATCTGCTTTCTCTGATCTCATTGACTATGTTTACAAGATAACTCTGAACCCTTATCCTAGAAATTACCATAACAGTGTTATTTCTGGTAAGTTAAGGCTTCAATAAGAAGCTGAAATTTAGGGAATTTAAATAGTTAACCTAGCTTTTGTGAATATTTGAATTTTCAATGCTTGTAGGGTTTTAATAAATAGGCAGTAGTGCTCATTAATCCCAGGGAAACCTAAACCTATCAGAATTTCCATGATATTGGATCTTTGCCTAAAACCTGCATGTTGTCATTGCAACCATGACACCCGCGAGGTGAGAGTGAGAATTTTGTAGCCACTGATCACAAGCGCTCTTGGGTACATCTGCGGAATCTTTGTGTGTGAAAAAAATAGGTTTTCTTTTAAGAAAGCTGCCTTTTATTCTGTAAATTGCTTATAAAGTGATCAGCTGCTATTCCAAATTTGTAACCGGGTAGGAATTACGCATTTGCTTCACAGTGTTCAATGGCTGTTGAGGGGCAGTGGAATTGGTGGGAATTACAAATAGCATTATCACATCAGTCACATCCTTTTCCCTGTCTCACTACTATGGGGGCTGGAGACACGATTTTGCCCAGCTTCACCCCTGCAAGAAACATTGGTGCAGCCTATAAATGAGGCAAGCAATTGGTGTGAAGATTATTCATCAACTTTCTACGATACAATATATATTTACCTGATATCTGTTTTCACCAGTGAAATCCCCAAGAGGTATAGAGCCAGCATGTACCACCAAAATTTGGTGTCCAATAACTTTCTCAATGTAGAATTGTTTTCTTTGACTCATTTCTGAAACCTGATCTGAAAATAGCTTTTATATAAGTTCAGCTGAAATGGGGTAAGCAGTTCCAATATCGATGGAAATGGCTTTATAGGGAAATAAACTTGGCCAGTTTAATTAAATGGGTAATCTTGACATAACAGTCCCAATGCCCCAAAATGTTTATGCAACATATTTATTGGAGGACTCTCTTCCACCTTAACACACAACCTTGCAACTGAGATCACAGTCAAAAGTAACAATTAAATAGTTTGGAACCACAGTTCCTCAAATTTCAAGTTCTAATCTAAACATAGTGTTGTTAGCCCACTGACAATTGTTACTTCATGTATTCAATTGAAACTACAGCTGACTGTTTTTGTGGCCTTAGTAGAAAGCATTAGTCAGCAGATGTTGCAAAAAAATGTACAGAATTTAAGGTTCACTTTACAAATTTACACCTCAAGTGTTCAGTTTCACCAGGAATGCAAACGTGGAAATGGGGATGCTTTTTTCCTGATGTTCTATCCATTCAATTTTTCAATAGTTATCTTCAAGAAGATGCTTCCAAATTTCCAGTGTGAACCACCTGCATGTTCCCCTCCTAGCCATGTACCATCCTCAACTTGGAAATGTACCACCATTTCTTCAATGTCACTGGGTCAAAATCTTGGAACTCCCTTCCTAACAAAACTGTGGGTGTCCTAACACCCCAACATCTGCAGTGGTTCAAGAAGGCAGTTCAAGGCCAGTTAGGGATGAGCAATAAATACTGGCCTATCCAGCAGTGTCCATGACCCAAAAATGAATTTAAGAAAATGGGCTCCGGGAAAGACCAAATGTCTATATGATAAAGTTTACCTCACTCAAGCTGTCTAAGGTCCAGTCTCTTGGTTAGAACTTTCTATCAACCTGTATTTTTATAATAACTGCTCGAAAATTTTAAGCTCATTAAGTTGCAGCCTCATATAATTCCTTCACTCTCTCAATGGGATTATTAGTGTCCAATCAGGAGCATTTCCTATAATCCATAAAAACTGTCCTGAAAAGTTGGATTGAAACCTACCCAATTTAGCTAACACAGAGACCTTTGGATTAACGTATGCTATATAATTTCCTCCTTGTGTGATGTAAAGACAATGTATTTTCTATTTTGATCTCAGAACATTGATGTAGCCCTGAATCTTATACAATTATTGTGATATCTGTCTCTGATTTTGCAGCTAGTAATAATCTGTAGTATTCAACATTTGCAAAGCTCACCCCTACAGGCCAGGACGTTAACCTAAATAGCTCCCTAGTCTTTTTATTATTTGCACATGGGATGTTTGGATCAGCATCATCCCTAATTGCCCCTTGATCTGAGTGCCTTGAGGGATCATTTCAGAGGACAGTTAAGAGTCAACTATATTGTGGATCTGAAACCACGTACAGGCTCGACCATGTAAGGATGACAGATTTCCTTCCCTAAAGGACATTAGTAGACCAGATTTTCCTGTGTGACATTTGGCAATGGTTGCATGGTCATCATTAGAACAGTTTTCCTTTAATTTCAAATTTTCTTTGAATTGGAATTTCACCATCTGCCATGGTGGGATTCAAACTTATGCCAACCCAGTGACACTACCACTCTGCCACTTCTTCCCAAGTTGGGAGTGCTGAAAGATCAGCAGACCACGTGAAGCGGATGTCTAACTGATTTTTTTTTTCATGTGTGCAGAAGTTCCTCTGATACCTAGGAGCTGTACTATATTCTTCCAAGCTGATATATTACCTAAGGTCATTGTTTTACCTTCTACATTCCTGCCTTATTGGACTATAGATAAATTTTGCAAACACCATGAGGTGATTTTTCAGTAAAATGACTTGGAAGAATTGCATGTCTTCTTGCACTGCATTTATATAAAAACCTTGTTTATTGTGCAGATTGTGCTGCCCATTTAATGTTTATTTGCTCTTCATATCAATTACCCGTCAAAGATTTGGAGGAAGTCTACATCCTCTCTAAAGCATGGCTTGAATGTTTTCAATTTTAATTTCATTTATCTGATTCAAGGCTGTTCCATTTTTGTGTTTTCTGGTAGATTTGAGCTGTCTGCAGTGTTTTCACTGGCAAATGATTATTATCCTAGATTGTCATCTTCAGGATAATCTTACAAACAAACAAGTTATGCTTTTAGCCTAAATGGTGACACCATAGATCCCTGTAAGAAATTAAGTGAACCAGCCAGAAATGACAATTATTGGCATGGCTTGGAATGTTCCTATTGATCAATCAATGTGTGATTTTGGACTGTTCCCTGCGATACAATGTATGTATCAAAGCAGACTATATGTCCTCATAGTTTAATTAGCATGTCTGTGTCAGCACTTATCAACTGTTTCAAACATTGTGGAAATTAACCCAGGATATCTTGAGTTAGCTAATTGTGATGTTTAAAGTATGACAGTATTTCGTCTGGGGAAATCAAGGATGAGAATACTATGTCTTAAAATCAATCTTAGGATATTTAGGAGGGAAATGAAGCAGGCTTTCACCCAAAGGTTAGTAGAAATCAGGAATTTTCTCTCCTGAAATCTCTAAGATGAAAGGTTGATAGTTCATTGCTTTGTAAGGTTATCCTTGTTTCTTGGACACTCCCTGAGAATAAGGATGACCTGCTTCCATTTCAGTTTGCTGGGTTCTGAGATGGCTGATATCTCGATTGCACAGTTTACTCCACAACATTGTGGTGCAGGTGATACCTTGAGGGTCAGGTAAATAAGCTATTATAACATTTGTCCCGGGAGGGAGTATCCAGCAGGTAACCTCTCCTTAGAAAGGGAGCAGTTATAGAGTCTTAGAGATGTACACCATGGAAACAGACCCTTTGGTCCAACTTGTCCATGCTGACCAGCTATCCTAAATTAATCTAGTCCCATTTGCCAGCATTTAGCCCATATCCCTCTTAAACCTTTCCATGCACGCACCACCCTCTGTGTGAAAAAGTTGCCTCTTAGATCCCTTTTAAATCTTTCCCTTTTCACCTTAAACCTATGCCACATAGTTTTGGACTTCCCTACCCTGGGGAAAAGACCTTGACTATTCACCCTATCCATGATACCCCTCATGATTTTACAAACTGCTCTAAGGTCAGCCCTCAGCCTCTGATGCTGCAGAGAAAATAGCCCCAGCGTATTCAGCCTCTCCAAGTTCCTTACGCTGTCCGTGGAGCGTAACTACAGCCACTGTGTTGTTTGGGATGGAGTTCCAGGATTCTGACCGAGTGATACTGAAGGAGAGGCGCTATGTTTCCAAGTTAGGATGGTGATTTGCTTGGAGGGTAACTTGCAGATGGTGGTGTTCCTATGCATGTGCCTCCCTTGTCCTTCTAGATAACAGTGGTTGTGGGTTTGGAAGGTGCTATCAAAGTGGCCTTGGTGAGTGGCATCTTGTAGGTGGTATACACTGCCTCAGTGTAGGAGGGAGTGAAGGTGGTGAGTGGCGTGCCATCAGGTGAACGATTTTGGTCTGGATGGTGCTTCTGTTATGGACTGTGGAGGGCCAGCAGTTCTGGACCCCCATTGTGTGATAGCCTCAGAGGCTATTATGAATTTAAATTTGATTAGGATTAAATCTGGTAAGGCTTGTCAAAGGACGGGAAGCCCCTGTGAAGGACTGGTTTGGGATCTTTCCTACACATGACCCCATCCGTATGACATAGAATCATAGAATCCCTACAGTGTGGAGGCAGGCCATTCAGCCCATCGAGTTCACACCAACCCTCCAAAAAGCATCCCACCCCACCCTATTCCTGTAACCCTGCATTTCCCCATGGCTAACCCACATAGCTTGCACATCCCTGAACACTATGGGGCAATTTAGCATGGCCAATCCACCTTGCGTGCACATCTTTGGACTGTGGGAGGAAACCAGAGCACCCAGAGGAAACCCACGCAGACACGGGCAGAATGTGTAAACTCCACACAGACAATCTCCCATGGGTGGAATCGAACCCGAGTTCTTGGCACCGTGAGGCAACAGTGCTAACCACTGAGCCACCATGCCACCATGACCCTGCCGGGACATGGAGCCTCTGCTACTGAAGGCGCCTCCACCCTCGACCTGCATTTTTGGGACATGGGCACTGCTGGATAGGCCAGTATTTATTGCTCATCCCTAACTGGCGTTGAACTGCCTTCTTGAACCACTGCAGATCGTGGGCCGTTGAGATGGTATCCTCCACAAGTGGTACCAAACTACCGTGACACTGTGCCTGTGACAAAATAGCCATGAGAATGTACCACCATCACTAATTGTGACCTTAGCTATGGGAATTAGTTACGTGTCCTTTTGGTACGAACAGTTGGTCCAGTCTCGGCACAACGTCCTGGTAATAGGAGTTAGTCCAGGAGCTATCCTGAAATGACTGCTTTCCTATTTTCCCAGCAGTTCTCTCCCAGCCCAAACTACCTCCGACTCTGTACCCCCCATTCTAGGAAAATCCAGATCAATGTTTCCTGTGTGTCGTTTCTGACAGAGTGGAGTTCTGAGGTACACAATGCAATTCGGACAGTCTTGAGCATTTGTTTCCTGTGTCACGAGGGCCTAAGGCAAATTAATGAGAAAGAAACAGATAGCCAAATGATGAATGTATCATGTACTGCTAACATCTTGCACTTGGTTCCATTTGTACGACTGCCCCTGCTTTGCATCTCTCCAGTGGGTTTCCATTTAGAACAAACACTGTAAGGCTGCCAAATGAAGCAATCCTCACGTATAAACAAGCAATTACTCTTCAGAATAAACCACAGCACTTGACAGTACCTTTAACTGATTACTGTGAGAGCTACTATAATGGCTGCTACATCAGACTGCACCCCAAAAGCATTAATAGTGTACCTTGCTCTGCTGTTTTAGTTTGGTAACAATGAACATGAGAGATAGTTATCCATGTTGTAGAACTGATTTCATTCTTTACATCCTCCACAGCCCCACCAATTCAAACCTGCAGGATATAATTTTCAAGGTTAGTGCAAAGTGGTTCCTTAGTTTTAGTTTGGCTTTGGTCAAAATTAAGTGACTCATTGATACATGTGGAACTGCAGAAATAAGAAGCCATACTGGCTTGCTGAAGCATCATCAAGGCATTTGTATCTGAATACTGAGGTTTTCCCAGAACACATCAAGCCAGGCTATACCCCTATGGTATGCAAAGGCAGCACCACCTTTTATGAAATGCTTGATTTGTTTTTAATGGGGAGTTCTGATGGGTTGACAACTGAAAGTAGGAGTTTAATTTTAATATCCATTTTAGCTTCTAAAAATTATTTTGCGGCGCGCCTTCATTATCAGCAAAGCTGATTGGAAAGATGCACTAATGCATTGAATGAGAAACTCGTTGTGTGTGTGATGTTTACATGCGTTCATTTAGGAAAGTAGGCTTTTATCAGTTTACTTTGAAATGATACGTCAGTCATTCATAATGCTTTTAGTAAAGGATTTTGATCCCAGCTTTAGGCATTTGAGTATTAAGCCTGATTGGTGAACCACATTTTAAGGCAGCAATTTTCTGCTGATGGAACATGCAATTAATGCCCATTAACCTCAGCAAAGAGAACACTGCAAATAAACATGATTATTTAAGTGGAAAATTGAGATATGGCCTGTATGGCAGGTGATGCAAAAGGTGTTTGAAATTGCAAGAGCAAAAAGAACTTTGAAAAGTTAGATCTAGAAAAGAAAATGTCAGTATTTTGGCCCTTTGATTAGACCGATAATGCTCCAGTGGGCAAGATGGGGGGCAACAGAAAGAGGGGTCAATCTTGGTGTAGGTGGAAGATGGACGTTACAGAGCAGTTGCAGATGAGCTACAGTGTATGGGTGAGGATGACAAAAGGCAAAAACACATTTCCCACCCTGACAACCGATGTCCTGGCAGGAGTAAGCTACAAATTGCAGCAGGAGTGAGATGGCGATTTACAGAAAAAAGCAGCGATGATCATTCAAACAGCTTGTGTTGCAAGAGTCTTAAAGTTTTACTTGTAAGCTGCTCTTTATTTTCAGCTGTGATTAGAAACAAATATTTCAGAGTAGTCTTATTACTTGAGTTTTTATCTGTAAAATATATCTTCTACCAATATTAAAACAACAACAAATAAAATGCATCAAAGAGAATTATTTCTGGAACATTCCAAACTTGTGACATCGAAGCCGTAAGCTTGGCAGAGAAACCAAATTTTGCCAGATTCATTTGCAGGCGTAAGGTTTCATTGTTCTCTGAATGGTATTGCTTTTCAGTTAAAGACATTGTACATTCATGCAAATGAGGAGCACGAACAGAACTCTCAGCCCTCGACTCTGCTCCATTATTTTGTTAGACCATGACTGATCTGATTCTGCTCTCAAATCCACCTACCTGCCTACCCCAGTACCTTTGACTCACTTGATAGTCAAGAATTTTCCTAATATTGTCTTCAGTATTCAAAGACTGTGCCTCTGCCACTCTAGGGGAGAGAGTTCAACAGACTCTCAACTTCCTTTGAGGGAAAAATAGTTTTCAAAATAAAACTCTGTCCACTAGCTCCAATCTTTCCCACAAGGAGAAATGTCCTATCAACACCACCCTTCCTACCCTGTCGTGTCTATTCAAGATGACCTCTAATTCATCTAAACTCTAATGGATACAAGCCCAAACCTGTCCAACTTTGTCATCAGATAACCTGTCATCCCACGACTCAGGAATGTAAGCTTTCGATGAACTGCTTCTAATGCAGTGATGTTCTTTATTAAATAAAGGGAGCAAAACTGTACATAATACTTTAGATTTTCAACAATGTCCTGTACATTGTAGCAAAACATGCCAATTTTTATGAAAGGAAAATACTGCGGTTGCTGAAAATCTGAAATATAACCAGAAAGTGCTGGAGAAACTCAGCAAGTCTCTGAGCACCTGCGGAAAGTGGAATGGACTCTTTGAAAAAAATGTCATACTGGGCTCGAGATATTGACTCTATTTCTTTTTGCACAGCTGTTGCCAGACTTGTTGAGTTCTCCAGCTTTTTATGGTTCTCCTTGCAGCAAGCAACAGTGTTCAGTTATCCAAATGAATATGTGACTGTCCCTGACTATACTATGGCACTTTGACAGATAGCTTCTGGAAATCTAAATGCACTGCATCCCTTTATCTACATTGCCTGTTACTTCCCTACAGAACTCTAAAGAATTAGTCAAAAAAAAATTTACTTTTACAAAATCATGTTGACTCCCCATTGATTTTAGTGCCCAATATAACATTAAAATTGGATACTGGTAGTTTCCCTATGACAAATGTTTAGTTAACTGGCTTGTAGTTTCCTGGTTCTGTCTCCCTCCTTTCTTGACAAGAAAAGTCCCATTTACTATTTTCAAATCTTGTGGGACATTTGCAGAATCTCTGGTAATTTGGAAAATTTAAACAAATCTAAGGAGCCACTTATTTTTAGAGCTTGGGATGAAGACTTTCAAGATCTGGGACATTTTAGTTTACTGAATTTATCCAGTACACTTTTCCTTGTGATTGTAAATAAATTTCTCCTTTTCACTTCTTGATGCAATTATTTTGGGAATATTAATTGTATCCTGCAGTGAGGATGGAAGCAAAATATTTGTTCAATTCCTCTATCATTTTGTTATTTTTCAATACCAATTGCCCCGACTCCTCTCTTAGAGAGTTATTGCTCAATTTACCTGCACGTTTCCTTTTTAAGGAGCTTTTCTTCTCTATATCTATTTAGCTTCTCTCATACTTTGTTTTCTCACTCATTGGTCTTTATCATTCTTCACTGTTTTTATTAAGCCTTGTACGCTCTTCTAACCTGCCGTTAATCATTGAAATTGTAAGCTTTATCTCTCAATAAATTCCTTGATTAGTCACTGTGGTATGTCCTTCCCCTGGAGTATCTCTTTTTTTATTGGAAAGTAATCAACACTCCACAAAGGGGTCTCCTTAGCTTACTGCTGCAGGTCTGAGGTCATATAGTTGACCAAGGCTCTTATTTTCACAGATCTTGTATCAAACTAAAATAACTAAGTTTTCATGTATATCATGAAATAGTAACAATAGTGATTTGCAGACAATAATACCTGATTTTATACTTTTGCTTTTATACTGGACATTTTGGTGAGGGAAATCAGCTCAGAACTAGATGCTCACCAAAACATTCTCACTGTTAATGTATATAAATTTTTTGATTTCAGATTTGGACGGTTCACAGTGGCTGCTCTTCAGTCGAAGGTGGAACAGTATGAACGTGAGATGAGTCGTCTAAAAAGGGCTTTGGAGCGGAGTGACAAGTACATCGAAGATATGGAGCTCCAGATTGAACAACTGAAGGGAAAGAGGGAGGAGAAGGAGAACGAGGTTGGGAAATTTAGTCCAGAATTACCATCTACTTCACTGCTTGGTGGAGAAAATAGAAGCAGTAGAGAACTGTGGAAGTGTTCTGATGATACCAAGGAGAACAGGATCATAGCCATGAGAAGAAGCCTCACAAATATCGAGCAGCCATTAGTTAACCAGTTAGATGGTGTCATGTCAACTGCTTTTAATATGGCTTATCAGCAAAATTTACGTGGAACAATGACAAATTTTGCTCCAGTGAACAGGGTCCTGGCTGATAATGGACTTCTAACCACTGCTCCTGTTGAGGATGATGCTTTGTGTTTGTCCCAGAGAAGTAATAAGAAGGAAGATGGGCATTCTGCAGCTGCAGATGAGAGTGAGGTACAGTTTGAACTTCCTAGTCCTTGTACTCCATCGACATCACTTGGTGCTCTCCACCTTCAGAGTACAGATGACGAAGTAAGTCCCCTGATGAAAAGGAGACATGAAAGAAAGAAGTCGACTCACTTAAGAAAGCTTTGTTTTGATGATGCTCATTTGAGAAATGTGTGTTCTGAAGAGCAAAAAGTATCGCAGCCAAAGGTTGACTGCAACATTGTACAGAGTACAGAGTTCTCCTCCAATAGCCTGATGTTTTGGGATACGTGTCAATCTCATTCAACTGAAAGTATCCATAAAGGCACTCAAAAGAAGAGCTTACAGACTTCTCACGGTGAAGAAGTACTCTTGGACAAAGCAAAGAACAAAGTGCCATATTTAACCAGTAGCCCAGGTATTAATGAAACTTGTTTTCCTCAATGCGGCAATGTACGCTCAAGAACATCCAGTGAGACCTCAATGGATGCAGCTTACCGGGAAAAGATATCTGAGCTGGACTTCATGTTGGATGAGTCGGAGAACATCCAAAATCCTCAGTCCTCTCTGCAATCTGAAGACCACTCTGACCTTGACCTCTCTTTAACAGCGGAACTGGCACAGTGCACTGAACTTTTGAATGAAGCTGAGAAAAGATTAGAGCAGAAGATACAACAGAAACAGCCGCGGGCTCCTCCCTCAGACACCAGGGATATGATTGCAAATACTGAAGGGCAAAGTCTGGTTCCATTGCCCATAGAGCCTCCTGTTGTTTTAAACATTGCAGAAGAATCAGTGTCTTCAGAAGAGAAAACATCTTTTCAGAGTAGTTTTAGTTCCCCTTTTCTTTCAGTATCGTCTGACCTATCCAACTTGCAACAAAATAAACTGTCGTTATGGAACAGCTGTTTAACATCTGAAAGTGAAAAATCGCAGGAAGCAACCAATAGGTGCCAGACTACTAAAAGAAAACCACAGTGTTGTGGCGAAGAGTTATCCAGTCCATCTAAATCATTAAGAAAAGACTTCTAAATCGAAACTCTTGCTACAGTTAAATTTATTTTTCTCTCTACATTTTGAAACCATCTAATCATCGTCATAATTTCTATCCTTTTGTTCTAAGTCCAATCTTAAGTATCATTTAGCACAGCTAAAAAGTACAGTGTAACAAAAGCCAGTGGGGACAGTATTTTGGCTGCTGCATTCAACCTCCCATATTTACTACTTGTTAAATGGGCAGAGAAGTCCATGTTTCTGGAGAGGGCAGAAGCAAAGTGCCTGGCCTTGTTTGTCAACCACACACTGCTGTGACTTGACTTTGTTCCTGATGTCATGTTTGTCTAACAATAAAGATACCTTGTTTTCGGTTTTTAGGGCGCCAATATGCAAGCAGATCAGTCCCTTTTTCCTGTTGGTTTAGAAGTGGAATACGAATTAGTTAAATATATGAAGGAATTGGAAGGTTGTTGCAGTGAATGCAATTGAGGGAGAACAAATGCAGTAGCAACAGCTTGGGTGATGTACCTCAAAAATAGCTGAGGAGATATAGATGGACATCTAAGTGATTAAGATGGCATGTTTGTCCTTTAGCTCACTATAGCTGCAATGTAAAATGATGAGCAAATGCTAAAGATTGGTTGGGGGGAAAGGGTGGAGGAGAATAAGCATATTAATAAATTTTTTGTGCTTGTTTTTTTGTATTCAGCTCATTAATGGAGTTGGAAAGCTACCCACAGTATCACTTCAAGTATAAGTTACCATTTTGTTAAATTTGGTAAAGTTCTAAACAAAACTCTTTCAGATGTAGCACCCAGTGGAGTTTGTTCTGATTTGAGATGTGTAGCATTTGACAGTGCTTAATTTGCACATCACACTCACCAGTGTGCTTCAGAGAGTGTAATTCTTAAAAAGCAGTAAACATTTGGACCATGAGGTGAAATGAAGAGCAGCCCACTGTTGTAATTATGCTGTAGGCATCCTTCATGTGTGTAGTTTTCAACTTGATAATGAATCAAAAAATGTTAGCATGTTATGAACTTTTCAGTGGGTAACTTTAATTGGTAAAGGATGCCTCACAGAGCAAAGGACTTACTTTTGAGCAGTGAGAGATTGAGGTTAGTTCATCCTTCAGTCAGCCACAGGGAAGTGCTATTGGTGACAGTTAAGGGTATCTGTGACTCATCTGCCGATGATATGATCATGACTGTGCACCCAAGCAAAGGAAGGGGAGAGGATGGTTTTCTGCAATGTAAGGAGACTTCTTTTCAACAAAGTAGACTCTTTACAGCAGAGAACTTAGCAAGAGATCACCTCTTTATTCATTTCTATTTCCTTCAGTGATATACGAATGAATGTGTTGTGATACAGTCTGCGTTTTATTTTTTTTGATTCATCGTTTAAATCATCGTGATAAAATACTTGAGAGAAAAAAGAATGTTTAATTGTTTGTCTTGTGCATAAGAAATAAATGTTCGCTGACTTGATCATTGTTATTTCCTGTGCAAGGCTGTGCAAGTTGATGAGAAATGAGGGAAGATTTCTGTATTTAACACTGATCTGGGTTTGTACAATAAGGGTATTTTCAAAAATGCAATCACTGTCACGTTTCAGGGCAGATTTTCTCTCAATACTTTCACTTGTTTTGCAGTTCCCAAGCAAGCCAAAGATTCTTTGTTTAGTCCTCCCTGGATCCTTATCTTGATTAATGTAGTGTCCTATTATGCTAATTGTTAACCTGTAGCTATAAGACAATTCACTAGACATCTGGTAGTCATGTAAGGTGAGTAAAGCCCCTGCCTCTGAGCCAGAAGCTCTCATTCAAGACCACCCCTAGACATGATGGCCAAAAAGGTGTGTTCCTAGTGCTGCTAAGCAGGCTGGTTATTGACCTGTAAATCTTCATTCACATGCTAAAAGGCAATAAAAGCAGGAGGGATCCCTGGCCAACCAAAGTAATGGAAGGAAGTATTGAGCTTCCACCACTACTGATAATAGCAGACTATCACAAATCAAACAGTTTCTTGGACTTCGAGTGACCTGTAACACACCACCACACTCTGTTACTGGTGTTCACCATGTTCTCGTGCATATTTCAAAAGATCCTGTTCTGACAAGTTCATACCAAAACTAACAAATTTATGAACAAGCAAGGTAGTTAGAGAAGCGGAAATGCCTTAATATACTGCTGTACCAATTGTCAGAAGAATCTTTTAAAATATTAAGGTGCTGCCCCTGAATGCATACTTCATAAGTCCAATAATCTGTAAAGCTTTTGTTTGAAACTACCTTCCACAAACATCCTTATATTTATAGCTGTAGTGATATCCATTGGCTTCTGGGCTTATGCTGTGGTCAGTGATTCAGAATTCTCATCTACTGAGCTGAAATACCAGCTGTCAGACTGAGCAAAAGCAGAACAGCTAACTTGGTGTTTTAGTCAGTACAAATCTTACATTTTACAAGTCTAACTTCTTAAAACATCACATGATGAGTGAACTTTTGCTACCTTCACCAATTTAGAAATTCACACAGACATCAGCATTTCCAAGAAAACACTACGGTCTGAACTTTGCTTCAAATCAACTTTTTAAGTTTACATCCAACTTTGCCAAGAATCTTAAAATGAAGACTTGCTGTGTGCAAACAGTAGCCAAAATATCATTCAGCTTTTTAGCGAATTCAGAAGTTCCTGTTCTGCCTTGAGCTATTGTGAATGACAGACTGAAGATAGGGCAATGTAAATGGTGGTCGTTGTAAGATTACAGCAACCAATACAAAGAACAAAGGTCCCATTATAATTTCCAAGCCATGTTAATGAGATTGTTCAGTCCAGTTCAGGCTCAGTACATGTACTGAAAAATGAGGGCTCTCGTTGTCCAGTGATCGGGTCCCTGCCTTTGGGACAGAACAGCCTTAGATGTGTGACATAACCTGTCTGAGCAGGTTGTTTAAAATAACTGAAACCTGAAAAACAATTTTACATAAAGGGTGTTAATTATTTCCATTCATACTTTTATTGCAAATGTATGAAAGACTAAGATTTTTTTAAAATTTGGTCTGTATTAATGTATTACTGTAGTTTGCAACGCTGTTGTTTGTGTTATTGCTAGTATGCCAATATGCTAGTTAAAATCTTTTAGAAGGTGTTGGAAATAGCAAGATGGAGGCATTTGTCCAGGAAAAGGAGTGTTGGGGTTGCTGAGACTTTGCCACAAACAGAAAACAAATGCTCGTGTGTCATTATTTAGAGGACTGATGGCCAAGGATTGGGATTATAGTGCTTGAGTTTGCAAAAGCTGTAAAAAGGAGATCATGTACCTCTTCGGTTTGAACTGACAATTGGGGTACCAGGAACAAATAAGGCACTTCATTTGTTGGGTCTGATGAAAATCAAATAGAGAACAAAGTATAACGCAGGGAGTAGAATTTTGAACAAGTTGGGAATTTACATTGGCAGGAGCTTGCAAAACCAGCAAGGAGAGTAAGAAGACAAATCTGGATAGAGTATCAGATCATAGCTGAGTTGTTAAATGGCAAGGTGGCTCAGTGGTTAGCACTGCTGCCACGCAGCACCAAGGACTTGGGTTCAATTCTAGCCTCGGATGACTGTCTGTGTGTGTGGGGTTTGCACATTCTCCCCATGTCTGTATGGGTATGCTCTGGTTTCCTCCCACAGTTCACAGATGTGCACGTTAGGTGGATTGGCCATGCTAAATTGCCCATAGTGTCCAGGGATGTGCAGGCTAAGTGGATTAGTCATGGGAAATGCAGGGATTCGGGTGGGGGGCTTTGGTCTGGGTGGGATGCTGTTTGGAGGGCCAGTGCGGTCTTGGGCCGAATGGCCTGCTTCCAGACCAGGGATTCTATGTTCCCATGATTACTGCTAAACAGGTTTCACATTCTCTGGCATAGCAGAGAGAAAGGTGCAGTTGGACAAGTTTTATGGTGGGAACATCAATCTTCTTGGTGTTTAGTTGGAGTAAGTAGTAGCTCAACAGTCTCTATAGTTTGAGAAAATGGGGCTCTTGTGACAATGGTAGGATCCCTACCTCTGAGTTAGAAGGGTGGGGTTCAAGTCCAACCTGCTGCAGAAGTGTGTTATAACAGGTCTGAATGGGTTGATTACAACTATCTATAATTTGACAAGATATTTAACTCAGAATTTTGTGCAGTGAGGAAGGAGGTGCTATTGTGATCCTTTATTAACAAGGAGTGGGTTGGTATGGAGAAACGGACAGGAGTTCTGGGACACTTCTGTAATCCATAGCAACCATATTTGCAGTATGTATCTGCCAATAGAGAAATTTCAGCTGAAAATAACTAGCTTCAAACACAGATGCTTAAGGGAAAAAGAAAGTTATCTGGCCTTGTTTTTTTTTGCCCCGGAGGTATTTACATTCTTTGAGTTTAGTGCCTCAGGTTTGATTCATGAAAGGGGGCAAGAGCATGTGACTACAAGCAAGACAGAGATAGGGTTCCACAAGACAGCAGTGAAAGCGTCTCAGCATGTGCACAGCCAGCAGGTTCAAGGTTTATAAATAGTTTTTTGTTTTACAGATTTTGAAAAAAAAGCACACTGCACTCATCAGGACATGTCACAAGAATACAAATTCAAGGGGAAAACTAACATTTATGCTACATAAGAGTGCTTGTTCAATGTAAAAGACGTTTAATGGGATTTCTGTGAATAAATCATGCTGGGACTTGAAAGGCAGTACACAATGGCTAAATTACTTCATTGGTCCTTAAGACTATCCAAGACACTTGTAAGGGCAGGATTGATTTGTATGTCTCACCAATAATTTGAAGTTTTCAATTTAATGCCATTAGTTCTGGCACTATTGAAACTTAAGCCAAGTGGCTTTAGAAATGCCAGTGTTTGCAGGTTGGCGCTCACACTGCACAGCAAAACAATGTTAATGATTTAGAGTCATACAGCACAGAAACAGATCCTTTGGTCCAACTCGTCCATGCCAACCAAGTTTCCCAAAATAAACTAGTCTTACTTCCCTGCACTTGGTCCGTGTTCCTCTAAACCCTTGCAATTCATATGTCTAAATGTCTTTTAAACGTTGTAGCTGTACCTGTATGTACCACTTCCTCTGGCAGTTTATTCCACATATGAACTAGCCTGTGTGTGGAAAAGATTGGCCTTCAGGTCCCTTTTAAGTCTTTCTCCTCTCACCTTAAAAATATGCCCCCTAGTTTTGAACTCACCCATCCTAATGAAAAGACCTTTGCTATTCACCTTATCCATGCCCCTCATGATTTTATGAACCCCTATAATGTTACACTGAAAGAAATGTTAGCACCACCGACTCCAGTCTAGCCAAGACCAACACCCAACCCCAAATCTGGCTCAGTGATACATTATAGAACAAGGGAATCAGGTGTTTGGATGACTGTTTTGTGCTGCAGTAATGTGAATAATGTGGGGTCACTTCCTGTACCAGATGAGGTTACCATGAAGGACTCTCTTTCTCAACTTTTCCCCTTGCCTGAGGTGTGGTGATCCTCCAGTTAAACCACCACCAGTCATCTCTCTATGAGAAGAGAGCAGCCCTATGGTCTGGTAGGACTCTGGCAACTTTATCTTTTACTTACACGGAAACCGTTCAAGAACACAACTCACCATCACCCCTGAAGAACAGTAAGGGACGGGCAACAAATGCTAGCCTAGCCAGCAACACCAACATTCTAGAGACTGTATACCTTTATAAATCTGAGTCCTATGCTCCAATACAAAAGAAATTTAGTTTGCCAGCCTCAGGCTGACTTGTTCTTTATTTCCCAAATTGGTTATCATTTTAGGATGGGTTTGAGGTTGTTGTCTTGCTCGCCGAGCTGGCTTGTTTTCGTTCAGACATTTCGTCACCATGCTAAGTAACATCATCACTAGAGCCTCCGATGAAGCGATGTTGTTCTACTCTGCTTGGAATTTATACTATCTGGTCCGTTATGGTGTGTGCTGTCATTTCTGGTTTTGTTCTGTATGGGTTTGTATATGGGGTCCAATTCTATGTTTGTTGATTGCATTACGAGTTGAGAACCATGCCTCTAGGAATTCCCGTGTGTGTCTGTGTTTGGCTCGGGCTACTATAGTTACATTGACCCAGTTAAACTGATGTCCTTCATTGTAAACCACGTTGGTTCTGCATGTTGTGGGAGTGGGGTCTTTGATCCTTGTAAGTGTTTGTTGTAGAGTGGCTGTGGGCTTGTGGGCCACCATGATTCCTAGTGGTCTTAGGAGTCTCGTTGGAGTGGGGAGTAAAAAGCAATGTAGGATTAGTATTGCACAGTATGGTATTAGTAAGGCAGTGGGCTAATAGTATTACTGTCATGGTATTATATCCAGAAACTTAGGTAATGCTCTGGAGACCAGGGTTAAAATCCCGCTACGGCAGATGGTGGAATTTGAATTCAATTAAAATAAAGTGGTATTAAGAGTCTAATGATAACCATTGTTGATTGTCAGGCAAACCGA